ACAAACCAAATTTCAAACATGCAAGAAGCTGTAGAATGTCTATCTTTGTGGGCTGATATTAATAAAATGCAATTGAATCCTACGAAGTGTATTAAAATGGACATTTGTTTTTCAAGAGTACCAGTCAATCAGTCTTCCATTATTCTCGAAAATTGTGTTCTTTTAACTGTTTCACAGGTGAAATTACTTGGTGTCACGATACAAAACGACTTGAAGTGGGAAGCCCATGTCAGAAATATTGAAAAAAGAGCGAATGCGAAACTATATAAGCTCCGTTCTTTGTGGAAGTTCGGTCTTTCACATGAAGATCAGATTACTATTTTTATTGGCTGTATTCGCCCAATCCTTGAATATGCTACTCAAGTTTGGAGCGGAGGTGTCACTAGTGCACAAAAACAATGCATAGAAAGATTACAAAACGTGCATTGAGGATTATCTTTGGAAAGGATTATCATAGTTACGCAAACGCTCTTCCAAAATCGAAATTACAAACATTGGAAAGTCGTCGAAATGTGTTACCTTCTGTAAAAAAAAACTCTTTCATGCACAGACCAGTTCAAACAATTTATACCCCAAAGAGCACACAATAGAACTTTGCGAAGAACTAACAAGATCCCTGAACCCAGGTGCAAAACTAAACGTATGCAGAATAGCCCAATCCCAGATTTGATCCGTTTGTATAACAACATTTTTTTATGTATGTATTTAATATACTCTGAAACAAATTACAATTTCATATTCTTAGTATATAATTAATTCATAAATTTGAGGTCTGATTTTTTTTACCAAGTTAGTCAATGTATTTTTTTATGACATGAAGAATGCGATGCATATCTATATTTATATTGTAATATCTCTAATGTTCACCTTATAATATTCATATTTGTCTTGCAATGTATCTTTGTATTTTATCAACATGTACATAATTGTTTTCCCTCTCTGTCCATCTGTCCCCTTTCTCCCCCCTCTCTCTCTCTCTCTTTCTCTCTCTCTCTTTCTCTCTCTCCTGCTTTCCCATCTCTCTTTCTTTTTAACTCAAATTTTTAAATTGAAATACTGTATAAGATTAATGGTATATAGTATATACACGCTCTTCATAATTATGTAGATTGTAGTGTGACATCTTGAAATGTATACTTGCTTTTTTCCAGCAATTTACTCATGTGCAATTCAGTTACTTTTTACTGTGATATCACTTGAAATGTATAATTGTCTTCACCATCAATGTTTCATTCATGCACAATTCAGTTACTTGTAACTGCGATACATGGAAATGAACCAATAAATACCATTTATCTATCTATCTATCTAACCCTCCTGCACTTCACAGCACACAAAATGCAGCAACAGTATTGAAACAACACAATAAAATACCTGTAAATATGACAGTGCTGGGTTTTTAATCAAACTTCCTTATAACCTCCTCATTCGCATAATGAATATACATGAATATGTATAAGGTTCGTAACATATATCTCCCATTTGCAGACAACATGAATTCTGTAGAACTTTGCAGGAATATGTCACATATATCCTATTTAAACGTTAGCAGTGTCCTAGTATTCAAATTATGCAAGGAAACCTGTTTACTTTCTATAGACTTCACTGTCAGACACTAGAAAAACCCTCAAATTACACAAACATTTCTATCATTAAACTAAAGACCAAATATGTTTCTTCTAAGTTCCCAATTTTAAACTCTTATTCTTTAGACATCAATATAAATGTACTTCTTAGGCTACCAAGAATGCAAGACAAACAGACAGAAACTTAGGCATGTAAACAGAAAGTAGGAGAAGAACATATGTGCACATGATTTTTGTACAGAACGATGAATATCGATAATTAAAACAGATTACGATCAACATTAGAATAAGAACATATGATGAATAAAATGCATACATAAATGTTAAACAAGCTACGAACGGATCAAAAAGCGATCAAATACTAAATATTTTTGTATGCAGCAACTCCGCGCATGCGAACAAAGATAATAACTAAATATTCATAAGAATGAATGTGTGTAAAACCTGATCACATGACGCATGACCATGAAAATCATCCCGTTATATAGCAATTTACAGGATCATTAATTAGAATTGATATTAGGATCTCCATAGGATAAATAATCATTGGATAAAAAAAAGCTATATACAGTATATCAAATTTAAGAAATATAATCTGACTTGAGACATTACACAACTTTCAGAAGAATTAATTGATATTATATCCTTTTTCTTTCTTTTAACTGCACAAGTTACATCATATTGCTAAACACCATATATTCAAATATCACAAATCACATGGTATGTAAGCATACTTAAACTATTTCTGCGATTTGTTTTTGTCATGTCAAAAGATTCTTTTACTGTGCCCTTGTATGATTCTTTGTGTCTGTGTTTGTCAGTTGTTTCTATTATTCGTCTTGCTGCATATGTTTGTCCCGTCTTCCTTAATTTCCTTATCTCATTTCTTCTGCACCTGCATACTAAGAGCACCACCAATGGTTTATTTGATTTTATACTTTATGCGCTTTTTTCTTTTCAGCTACTGCTTCTAAACCCCATATGGCTGATCTGAACGATCAGATGGCTTTTAATTCCCTCACCGATGACGATCTACTCGATTTACATAGACCCAGGCGCGGATCCAGGGGGGGGGGGGGCAAGCGAGCCTTGGGGCCCCCCCCCCGCCCCCCCCCCCCAAAAAAAAAGGAGAGAGAGAGAAAGGAAAAGAAGGGAAATGGAAAAAGAGAAAAGGGAAAAAAGGAGAGGAAGAAGAAAAGAAAAGAGGGAAGGAGATCGGGGGGGGGCAAAAGGACTTGCCTCTCAGGCTGTTGCCTCCCCCTCCCCCCCCCCCCCCCCCCCCCCCAATTCAAAAAATAAAAGAGAAGGAAGGAAAGGGAAATAAAAAAGAAAAAGAGGAGATAAAGGGAAGGACAAAAGAGGAAGAAGAATAGAAAAGGGGATATCACTCTCCTTTCTTCTCTTATCCACCTCTGCTCTCTTTTTCTTTACTCTTCACATTTGCTGCAATATTTTCTATCCTTGCATTTCTCTCTTTCCTTGCTTTATTTTCTGTTATTTATGTATTTTTTAAAATGATATGTGTATGTCTTATCTGTCAGTCTTCATTGTCTCTTTTGACCTTTCCAGTGTTCACTATATACTATATATATGTGTCATAACAAGTTGTCAAATTACGGATTTATACGTGCATTATTATCCTGCCACTATTTGGTAATCTATGTATATTTTTTTGTCTTCAAGTCAATATATTTACATGTTACAAAAATTATGTATGTCAATATTGAGGGATCCACATTTTACAAGCTTTGCTTTTCAGTGGATCCCTCCATTTCCACAGGTTTAATTTACAAAATAAAAAAATAAGTATTATACTGGATATTTATGTTTACCCTACTTTCTATTTCATAAGTAACTTTAAACCATGTAAAAGGTATTATATCATTGAATATTGAATTGTATATCTGATTTCTTGTCAAAATCACTGTTCTGTTGGAAATGAAAAAACAAAATTGAAAAACTGAAACTGAATGATCGTACAAATCAAACACTTTGACAATGATAAACATTATATATATATATATATATATATATATATATATATAAAGAAAAAATTATGGTAAGGTACTTCTCAGGCACAACATTTTAGAAACACTGGTTTATCAACACAACTTTTTTGAAAGCATTTTCAACAGGCTACTAAACATTATAATCCTACCATAAAAAACACGGCATTTTCAACGTTCTAGCCAAGATGGCCAACAGGTCTCAAAGATATCAATATATGATTTAATGCATTTTAGGATCGTGCAAATAGCAAATAGCGCAAACTCGGAACTTAAAAAAAAAAAGAATTGAGCACAGCAAAACATACAGACGTATTTTTGCCACAAAAAATGTATTATTGTCTTGGAACCAATTTGGGTATTAAACTGGAAATGTTCTTATTGGTTCCAGTTGCACTTCTAACTAGAATTTAACGGCCTTCTAACCGGAACCAATTGGGTAACTGGAAATAATCTTACTGGTTCCAGTTGCACTTCTAACTGGAACTAGTTGGGTAAAATGGAAATGGCCTTCTAACTGGAATAAATTGAGTAACTGGAAAAATTATCTTACTGGTTCCAGTTGCACTTCTAACTAGAACCTGTTAAATGCAAGATTCATCTGGATCCAGTTGCAATCTCCAATTGGTTTGAACTGGAATTGACACATCTTCCCAACTTTTTCCGGTTAAGGCCATTGATTTCAACTGGAAAATTTGTATTCCTATTGAAACCAATTCCATATCTTTAAACTATCATTGATATCTGATAATTAAACAGTTATTGAAATAAACCTACCAAACTACATACTACAATGAAATACTTGACTTAAGGTAGGGGAGTTTGTTGTGGTGCACAATTGCACCCTTCTGTAAATAATCGAATAGTTCATGCGCATGAATATTCATGTTTTTGCTTACCACGGCAAAATGTTTGCTTTTACTAAATGGAAAAATTACGGTGGGGGGGGGGGAGGATTAAATGGACATAATGAACCAAGCAGAAGTGATCTATGATAATTCATGCTTCTTATCCTTTGTGCGCTTGACCTATAATCTTACAATCGCTTGGCAGACTGAGTCCAAAGTTCGACTTGTTTCACATGTGTATTATAAGCAATGACGAGCTTGCAACCTATTTTGATAAAATTACGGTGGGTGAACTTTCAAAAGTCAATGAGACATTAAGGTTCCAATTAAAGAGCTAGTGATAACGGACGTCGGGTGGATGTGCATTTCGTTTAAACAAAAAAAATATATGAATTTTTAACGATTATTTTTGTAAACGTCGATAGGCTAACATGTTAGGCTGCTGACTCTATCGATAGGGGGAGTTCTCAAATGAGACTAAACGGAGCTATAATTATGATAGCCTTTTCTATGAATATCCATGATAAAGACTATGCGGCAACGGTGTGGCAAAACTAATTTTACTCTTCATAATTGGGGGAGTATATGCAAACAGGGCCGATCTCTCCATGCGACCAGTCAGCTCCGGCTGAAGTAGCAATACATTCAACTTCAAACTTCGCACTGCCATTGTATTTATAGTTAGTTATGCAGAGGTAATAGTATTTATCCCCAATGGATGCTTCAGTGATGTCAAATGGCCTTGTCTTTGTACCATTTTTAGGTTTGCCACATTTGCCCTCTGTGGAGAACAATGATAAGAGAATATTATTTATTAGTACCAGTTTGTTGCTATATCTATTATTATATCTTGTTGTTGAATTTATTTTCAATAAGCGTAGTGAAACGTCAAAACAAAACTTTTGATCAGCCTTTTCTATATACCTTTTATCCAACATGGCCGACAGGAGCCAAAGATATCAATGAATAATTTGATCAGAGGCTACGGATGCAACTTTGCTATATATATATTCGGGGTCGAGAGATCAGCTCATATGAGGTTAATTGTGTTTTTGTTGTTTTTTTTAAAATATAATTTGGCGGGTCCTCTTTTGGGGGTATAATGCTGGGGCATTGACAAGGGAATCACCATGTACTAATATTTTTCTTGTATATAGGAAGAGTAATTTCCATGATTCATCCATACCATCCAAAAGGAATAGTTATAACATATCTGAGCAATTATTAGTGACCGGCTAGCACCAATTCCCTCAGCGTTTAGTTCATGTGGGTGGCAGTATGATTTAAAAGAAATTTCTATGACTAATTCAAACCATCCAAAAGGCATAGATATATCATACCTGAGCAAGAAGATGGCGTTAGAGACCAGCTAGCAATAGTTCCCTCATCGTTTAGTTCACAGACTACCGTCAGGTTATTAGGGTCTGATGTGAAGCCATGACTGCATGTGTAGTTGTATGCTTCCCCAGGGCTTCCTTCAGTGATTGAAATAGACTCTGTGTTCGTACCATTTCCAGGTGAGCCACATTTGGCCTCTGTTTCAGGTGAAGAATGAAAAGATAATATTACTTAATTTGTTGTTTGATTTTATTCTTGTAATTCTACTATGTATTTATTATCAATTATCGCAAGTTTAAAAAAAATAGAATTACTGGTTTATATTCAGAGTTTCTTTTTGTTTGTTGCCTTTTACCGTGGTAGTAGGGGACTAAAAGTCATTACCTTTAGTTAAAAAAAACACGTCATTTTTTTATGTTTTATGCAAGTTGGCTGAAGGGCCCAAAGATATAAATACACAATTTGATGCATATGCTACGGATATAACTTTGCTATGTATATTCGAGGTCGACAGATCAGCACAGATGAATTTTATTGTTTTCGGTGTCATCCCAGCTCATAACTCGATTCTGAAGGTTCATGGTTTTGTGTATTAAATTACGTTTCGTATCTTATTTTAGTCTATTACATTTGTTTAAGGCATGGTTTGTCAGTATTCACAATGTTAAAACTAAGCAATGAGGTAGTACTGAAGACCAGCTAGCAACAGTTCCCTTAGCGTTCATTTCATGTGGGTGGAAGTGCAATGTAAAAGTTATTTCCATGCTTAATTCAACCATCCAAAAGGCATAGATATATCATACCTGAGCAAGAAGATGGCGTTGGAGACCAGCTAGCAATAGTTCCCTCATCGTTCAGTTGACAAACTACCGTCAGGTTATTAGGGTCTGATGTGAAGCCATGATTGCAGGTGTAATTGTATGCTTCCCCAGGTTGTCCTTCAGTGATTGAAACAGACTCTGTGTTTGTACCATCTCCAGGTGAGCCACATGTGACCTCTGATTCAGGTGGAGAATGAAAAGAAATTTTTACTTTATTTGTTGATGATTTTATTCTTGTGATTCTACCGGTTTGTATTTATTATCAATTATCCAAAGGTAAAAAAAATAAAAACACTGGTATACTAAAATTTTTTACCTTTGGTTAAAAAAACACGTCATTTTCTATGTTTTATGCAAGTTGGCTGAAGGGCCCAAAGATATAAATACACAATTTGATGCATATGCTGATATGTATAGAGGTTGTCAGATCAGCACAGATGAATTTAATTGTTTTCGGTGTCTTCCCAGCTCATAACTGAAATTCTAAGGGTTCATGATTTTGTGTATTAAATTACGTTTCGTACTTTATTTTAGTCTATTACATTTGTTTATAGGAGAAAATGCATGTTTTGTCAGTATTCACAATGTTAAAACTGAGCAAGAACATGGTGTTATAGACCAGCTAGCAACAGTTCCCTCAGCGTTTAGTTTATGTCGGTGGCAGTATGATTTTTAAAAAAATTCTACGATTAATTCAAACCATCCAAAAGGCATAGATAAATTGTACCTGAGCAAGAAGATGGCGTTAGAGACCAGCTAGCAATAGTTCCCTCATCGTTTAGTTCACAGACTACCGTCAGGTCATTAGGGTCTGATGTGAAGCCATGACTGCAGGTGTAAGTGTATGCTTCCCCAGGTTGTCCTTCAGTGATTGAAACAGACTCTGTGTTTGTACCATCTCCAGGTGAGCCACATTTGACCTCTGATTGACGTGAAAAATGAAAAGAAATTATTACTTTATTTGTTGATGATTTTATTCATGTAATTCTACCGGTTTGTATTTATATCAATCATCCAAAGTTAAAAAATAGCACCCTGGTATACTAAAATTCTTTACCTTTGGTTAAAAAAACACGTCATTTTTTTATGTTTTATGCAAGTTGGCTGAAGGGCCCAAAGATATAAATACACAATTTGATGCATATGCTACGGATGCAACTTTGCTATGTATAGAGGTTGTCAGATCAGCACAGATGAATTTAATTGTTTCGGTGTCATCCCAGCTCATAACTAAATTCTAAGGGTTCATGATTTTGTGTATTAAGTTACGTTTCATACTTTATTTTAGTCTATTACATTTGTTTATTGGAGAAAAGGCATGGTTTGTCAGTATTCACAATGCTAAAACTGAAAAAGAACTTGGCGTTATAGACCAGTTAGCAACAGTTCCCTCAGCGTTTAGTTCATGTCAGTGGCAGTACGATTTAAAAGAAATTCTACGATTAATTCAAACCATCCAAAAGGCATAGATAAATTGTACCTGAGCAAGAAGATGGCGTTAGAGACCAGCTAGCAATAGTTCCCTCATCGTTTAGTTCACAGACTACCGTCAGGTCATTAGGGTCTGATGTGAAGCCATGATTGCAGGTGTAAGTGTATGCTTCCCCAGCTTGTCCTTCAGTGATTGAAACAGACTTTGTGTTTGTACCATCTCCAGGTGAGCCACATGTGACCTCTGATTCAGGTGAAAAATGAAAAGAAATTATTACTTTATTTGTTCATGATTACATTCTTGTAATTCTACCTTGCGGTTCGTATTTATTATCAGTTAAAAAATAGAATTACTGGTTATTCAGAGTTTCTTTTTGTTTGTTGCCTTTTACCGTGGTAATAGGCTACTAAAATTCTAAACCTTTGGTTTTAAAAAAACACACTCAATTTACTACGTTTCATCCTAGATGGCTAACGGGCCCAAAGATATAAATAGATAATTCAATGCATATATGCTATGGATGCAACTTTGTTATAATAAAAATAATATACTAGTTTTTATATAGCGCTTATTACACTGAGCGCTTTCAAACTTGGAGATTATTACCCCGACTCTGTGCTGCCATTACGGCGCTCTAGAATTTCAAAGAGTTAGTTCTTGCCAGGTACCAATCCACATCACCTGGGTAGAGTGTTGCAAATGTAGATCAATGTCTTGCCAAAGGCGGCGGGTCTCGAACCGCGGACCTTATGGTCGACAGTCCGGCGACTTAATCACTCGACCACGGCACCTATGCATGACAGATCCAGTGGCGGATCTAGGATTTGCCGATAGGGGGGGGGGGGGGGCCTAAAATTTAAAAATCGCGCTGAACAAAATTCTGCTCAGGGGGGGGGGGGGGGGGGGGTAAGAGCATTTTGTTTCTTCCTCAATTTTGCTCTCGGGAATTCAAAAATTGAGCAGATCATTTTTTGCTCAGTGGGGGAGGGGGGGGGGGGGTAGTGTTAGCACTTACTAGACTCGATTTCAACCGAGACAACGATCATTGAATATTGTAAAATCGCATATGCTCCCAATATATTCATTTCAACCAAATACATGACCCCCATACCAAAACTTAGTAAATACCTTTAACGAAAATAAAAAATCCAAGATTGTGTCCGAAATGACTACAGTATCCTAAAATGACCCGGGAGTGAGTTAATTGGCTATATTATTTATTTATTTTTTTTACCGTAAAGCTATAATTAGAAAGATATAAAATATGTTTTAAAGGTCAGGATGTTCACTAAAATGCTTTAAATTAAAATGATACAAAAGATGATCGCCATCTTGTATTGCAAGATGGAAGCCAAAAACTTAAATCAGTCTCAACTCGTGATATATCCTTCTTCTGCAATTTTGGTATCTTTGCCTAGGTTTTGGATTGCGACAAAACCATTAAGACTGTTTAAAATGTGTTATGGTTTTCAGAAAACCTTGAAATCCAAGAAAGCATCCATGACAGCTGGTATCGCAACATTATCAGATTTCGGTTATTATTTACAATATAGAGTTTGTGTAAACCAGGTCCATTTTAAGGGTAAGAATATTCATTCAAAAATAGTATCAACTATAATTGCAACTTTTGTGGAACATTGTATACAAGATGGCTGCCATTGAATCATTAAAAATGGCTGCAAACGCCATAAATCATTTAAGGTATCCCTCCCTTGTCTTTACCTTAGAAGTTAGATTGAGGGTTAAAAATCTATTGAAACTATTCAAACTACAGTTGTTCCTTAGTCAAGCACTACCAGAAACCGTTGGAAATCTTTTGTTATTATTTTTTATGGGGGAGGAGGGGGGGGGGGGGGGTCAAACCCTATTTTGACCAAACTACTGTACGTACCAGGTGAATAAAAAAGTTGGTACATGTAACCCAAGGGTTCTAGAGAGAAACATATGTACAAAAACAATACAGGTCTATTCGTTTTGATTTTGCCTCACCCGTTTCGCATCGTGAACCAGCGAATCCTGGTGCACAATAACACGTTCCTTCCCGACACGTTCTTCCATTTCCACAGATCACATTGGCACATGGATCAGTGCCTGTGCCGGGATCAGTACCAGTGCCGGGATCAGTACCAGTGCCAGTATCAGTACCACCTGTAGGGATCGTCGGCACTCGCCATTAAAATGCATGCTTATTTTGTTACAAACCTCATACATATTCATGTATTTGTTAGTATTTGTTTTTGCGTATGAGCAGCATGAATAGGTGAGTGAAGATAGATTCATTAAAACAAAATATAGCCATAGGTAAAACATAGTTTTTGTTATTTCCTTGTATATATATATATATATATGTGTGTGTGTGTGTGTGTGTGCTGCTTTGAGAATGTGTGTGTTGTGGGGTGCAGGGCGGTTTTATTAAAACACTCATTACTAATAATTATAGTGATCACGATGTTATCAAGAAAAAGTAATGATGCTATAGCATGCAGTTGAAAAGATAATAACCATTTTATAGTACACCAAACTACAACAAAAAAGTAAAATCAAATATATGCTTTCTTCCTTGCGGCACTGCCAGTTCGTACAGTTCCGAAAAGAATCGAAAAGAAACAAAAAGATGAATGGAAAAGCAGGCACGTAGCCAGAGTTTGATGTATTAGGGGGGCACATACATGTAATTGATCAACGTCCTGGGCAGGGGTCTAAAAAAGTTCAACCCCCTTGCCCCCCCCCCCCTCCCCCATGGCTACGTGCCTGTGGAAAAGTACACAAGTAGTTGTTAAAATGTATACTCAACAACAGTCCAATGCCAATAAATTTGCCAGTCACATTCACCCTAGAAAATTAAAGTATCAAGAGATTCATCAATTACCTCAACTGTGCCATTGAAAAATTTGATTTCATTGTAAATGATTTCCATTATTTTGAGTATGTCTGGAAGCCCTAATATTTGTATTTCTATTAGTCAAAACATTTTGTTTGCGCCAATTTGCTCTGGTGACCAGTTACCACCACTACAACTTTCAAAGTTAACTGAAATTTAAAAAAAAATCTTTTTCTAGCTCAAGTATCTTGGCAAATAGCACTATATTTATTTCGTAATTAAAAAAAAAAAAAGTTATCACTCACACAGGCATACACATGCACGCACACACATTAGCAACTCCACGTCGTGCTAGAAAGATCGTACAATGGATATTTCTTTATAATTTTATATAAAATGTTTGTCAATATTTCAATTAATGCATTCATCTTAAAGGAATAGTTGAGTTCTAGTTTCAGACTGCAAATGCCTGCAAAGTACATGGTTATTGCTCTTATTCTTATGTATGAAATTTCTAGTGCTCTTTTTGGACCTAAAATTGCTATGAAGGTAATTTCATACCCCGAAATGTGTGAGATTTAGCCAATATAATCATACCAATTCAGGTCCACTTTCAAAAAATATGGTGTCCGTTAATTAATCAATTAATTTATAATAACAATACACGGGCCGGCTGGTTGTGCGTATTATAACCAACATACATTGTAAAAAAAGCCAACATCAGCATTGGCTGGAATAAAACGTATTAGGCGCTATCTCGTTTTTCAACGGCAATATTTGTGGGGCACCAAAAATATTAGAAATCGTCTTATTTCTCTCTGAACAGATTTTGACCAAAACAAGATGATTTTGTCATTTAAGTTGTATGTTCTTTCAAATTTGACACTCAGTTTTTCATTATCTCACAAAAAGATTATTTTGTGAAGTGCTCTCTGCAACAAAACTCAACTATCCCTTTAAATGCAAATGAAAAGATTACCAACAATGCAACAATATTGTTTTGACTCACAGAACAGTGCGAGGGCGACAGCTCCAATTATAAGCAACAAGACGATAAGAAACATGACAATGGACGTAAAGAAACAGATCATCCGTCTATAACGCAGGTACATCATCTCCTCATAAGCAGTCATGGGATAGTGCCTTCTGCGACCCATTGAATCATCACCCAATCCGCTGTTGTAAGGACGGCCAAAAGTCACGTCTGCATCGTATCTAAAGAACATTTGCGGCGATGCATGTTCATGCTTAAACTTAGGGGCCGGTCCACCTCTGTACCAGTTATACTGGTAAACATATGAAAATAGAACGAGAAAGACATTACATGACAAGGGCCGTCGAGGGACCACTTTGAAATTGAAGGAAGGGGGGGGGGGGATATTTGCCGTCAATTTAGTTGAAAAGTTTTATATTTTACACATTTTTCTTGCAGCAAGTAAAAAGGGAGGAAAGAGGATTATCAATTTCTGATATTTGCCGACAGAAAAGTGTCATATGATGGAGAGGCGGAGGGGTGTAACATTTACATTCACCCCACCCCTCCTATATCGAAGGCCCTTTTCATGATTACCCCTATTTTTAACATGTTCCTTTTTAATGGGAGAAATTAGATCGAGTTACATCTACATATTAATGGAGGCAACATACATGTAATTGTTCGACGTCCTTGTGAGGGGTCTTAAAAAGTTCAACCGATCTTGATTTTTTTTTTCGGGGGGGGGGGGGCATGTGCCTCCTCCCCCCCCCCCCCCCCCCCCGTGGCTACGGGCCTGGAGACCAGCACTAGAATACTGCTCTCCCGTGTGGCACCCTTTTTTTTCCTTCCTCACAGTTCTTTCTTTCCCTTTCTCTCCTATTTTCCTTTCCCTTCTTTATCCTTCTCTCTCTCTCTCTCTTTCTTGTTTTTTGTTTTTGTTCGTTTGTTTGTTTTTGTTTTGTTTGTTGTTTTGCAGGGGGGCAAGGCCCGCTTGGCCCCCTGGATCCGTGCCTAATAGGCATTACAATTTAAGTTGTTGACAATGTAAAGTTTATCAAATTGCGCTTCTGATGTAAAATTCACAATGTAAAATTGTATTTCAATAGAGAAGCAATAACATCAACCTGCATGTACACTTCCAAATGGGTTTGATGCACAGCCAACATAAGTCCTTTCTTTGAAAAAAAAAGAATTACATTTCAAATCTGAAGTACATGTAGTGTTTACAAAAGTACACAATATACAGTGAACAGTTACTATTCTTATATGCCAAACAAAATACAAGGGACCAGCTATAGGCGTAAGACTTAGGTCTGGGTCGGTATTGTAGGCATCCATCTTGATCTACCGAAGATCTTAAGATTCAGTTCAGTTCATTTTATTCAAAACCACACTGTTACATAAAACAGAGACTGGTAACAGTACATCAATCAACATATTCTAGCTTGATTACATCATAAACTGAATGGTTTTAGGACCCCTTTAGAAGCTAAGCTTGTGAGTGGGCCCCTATAGTCAACAAAATACATACATTTACAGTAAAAAGAATGTTACGTATGATTATACAATGGATGAAAATACTAAGCTACGGAATAAGATCGCCGTTTCAAACCGACTCGCCCTAGATAAGCTACCTCTCGCGGCCGTCGTCCACACTATGAGCAAACACGACGGAAGTAAACACGTCAAATTATTAACCCCCCCCCCCCCGGTCTAGCCCTGAGGACTAGAAAAAATCCCCTAAACGCGTAAACCATCGCGTACAGCAGGATTTTGCATCATTTGGAAAAAGTACATTTTGCCTCCAAAAATGGCCCAAAATTGATGTTTTTGAACCCCTTAATGCGGCACCGCACGGACAGCGTCCAATCTTAAAAAACACCGCTTTATACGCGTTTTCTTGGCAGTCTTTTTATTTGAGTGAGATCCCCGGGCAGCGCTTTTTTTTACACGATTGTTTAGCCATTATTTTTGCGAAGAAATTCTTAGAAATACTGTGGTGAAAGAATGGGCAAGCACGTACACTCAGGAAGGGAAGATAATATAAAAGGGAAAACAAAGAAATACATAAAGAGAGTGGAGAGGATATGGAGAAGGAAAAACAAAGAAATACAAGACAAAAGAGAAGAGGATATAGATTGAGGAAAAACAAATTAGAACATGACGACAGAGAAGAGGATAGATTGAAGGAGAACGAAGACATAACGACAGAGAAGAGGATAGATTGAAAGAGAACGAAGACATAACGACAGAGAAGAGGATAGATTGAAGGAGAACGAAGACATAACGACAGAGAAGAGGATAGATTGAAAGAGAACGAAGACACAACGACAGAGAAGAGGATAGATTGAAGGAGAACGAAGACATAACGACAGAGAAGAGGATAGATTGAAAGAGAACGAAGACATAACGACAGAGAAGAGGATAGATTGAAGGAGAACGAAGACATAACGACAGAGAAGAGGATAGATTGAAGGAGAACGAAGACATAACGACAGAGAAGAGGATAGATTGAAGGAGAACGAAGACATAACGACAGAGAAGAGGATAGATTGAAAGAGAACGAAGACATAACGACAAAGAAGAGGATAGATTGAAGGAGAACGAAGACATAACGACAGAGAAGAGGATAGATTGAAGGAGAACGAAGACATAACGACAGAGAAGAGGATAGATTGAAGGAGAACGAAGACATAACGACAGAGAAGAGGATAGATTGAAGTAAAAACCCGGGAAAAACAAAGAAATACATGACGAAAGAGAAGAGGATATAGATTGAGGAAGAACTAAATAAGGACATAAGTATGAAAGAGAAGAGGATAGATTGAAAGAGAAGAGGATAGATTGAAAGAGAACGAAGACATAACGACGGAGAAAAGGAAAGATTGAAGTAAAAACCCGGGAAAAACAAAGAAATACATGACGAAAGAGAAGAGGATAGATTGAAAGAGAAACAAAGACATAACGAAAGAGAAGAGAATAGATTGAAGGAAAAACAAAGAAATACATGACGAAAGAGAAGAGGATAGATTGAAGGAGAACGAAGACATAACGACAGAGAAGAGGATAGATTGAAGGAAAAACCCGGGAAAAAACAAAGAAATACATGACAAAAGAGAAGAGGACATAGATTGAGGAAAAACAAATTAGAACATGATGAAAGAGAAGAGGATAGATTGAAAGAGAACGAAGACATAACGACAGAGAAGAGGATAGATTGAAGGAGAACGAAGTCATAACGACAGAGAAGAGGATAAACTGAAGGAGAACGAAGACATAACGACAGAGAAGAGGATAGACTGAAGGAGAACGAAGACATAACGACAGAGAAGAGGATAGACTAAAGTAAAAACCCGGGAAAAACAAAGAAATACATGACGAAAGAGAAGAGGATATAGATTGAGGAAGAACTAAATAAGGACATAAGTATGAAAGAGAAGAGGATAGATTGAAAGAGAAACAAAGACATAACGAAAGAGAAGAGAATAGATTGAAGGAAAAACAAAGAAATACATGACGAAAGAGAAGAGGATATAGATTGAGGAAGAACTAAATAAGGACATAAGTATGAAAGAGAAGAGGATAGATTGAAAGAGAAGAGGATAGATTGAAAGAGAAACAAAGACATAACGAAAGAGAAGAGAATAGATTGAAGGAAAAACAAAGAAATACATGACGAAAGAGAAGAGGATATAGATTGAGGAAGAACAAATAAGGACATAAGTATGAAAAAGAAGAGGATAGATTGAAAGAGAAGAGGATAGATTGAAAGAGAAACAAAGACATAACGAAAGAGAAGAGAATAGATTGAAGGAAAAACAAAGAAATACATGATGAAGAGGATAGATTTCAGCTAGCTGGCTCTCAACTTAAATAGGGCTTCAAAACACCTACAATCAGGGGCGGCGATTTCTTTTCATGACCGGGGGACGAAATGCGAGGGACGAGGAAACATATTAGCAAGAGGGGCCAGTGGCGTAATAAGCAAAAACGTTGGGGAGGGGGGGGGGAGATGTGGGGAGCTAAAGTATTTCCGACCAGGGAGTGCAAAGCGAGCGAAGCAATTGGAGCGTAAATTGGCGTGGGGTCCAGGGGCAAAGCACCGGCGGGAATCAGGGGGTGGAGCCCCATGACGCTCTTGGGTTTTAAGCATTTAATTTCGGTTAGATGAGCATTTTTTGGTACCTTATTTGTGACACTGGCAGGTCACTAATTGGAGTGAGGTCTAGGGGGCAGCGCTCCCCCAAGTTCAGGGGTTTTAGGCAAAAAAATACGATCCGATTGATGAGCATCTAGGGGCCGTCTTAGGGCCTTTGGTTGGGTCCGGGGGGGGGGGCGGTAGAGCCCCGGGAGCTGATTGAAAAAAAAAGAAGCATTTTAGTAACATTTGTAAACCACTGGTATCAAATTAGAAATAAACCATGTTTAAATTTTATGGGGGGGGGGGGATTACTGCCACCACATCAGTACGCCAGTGAAAGGGGCGGAGGTGACGGAAGTGACTACCTCCCATGAAGCTATGTGATAAGTTCTGATTATAGAGCTACACGCTACCCCCTCACAGGTTTTTGAAGTTTTGTTGTATTATAAAGTTACATTCTTTAGCAAAACTACAGCATAAAAACAAGCAATATACTGTTTTTACACTTTACTTTTACTTTGCCGGTATCTAGTGTGCAGTCAGTAGGCAGGAAGGGGCTTCTTAAAAGAGCAAGCTGAATATTAATTTTTGGATCACTGATCTACTTCTATAACTCTTAATCTTGTAAACATGCAGTGTAAACTGTGCTTATGCGATACCAACAATACAATATTTACTTGTATATTTTGAGGGATATTATGCAAAGGGGCGTAGCGACCGAGTGAGAAGATTTTTGCATTTTTATTAGTCTAAACGCTGTACTCTTGGGCCCCTCCAGAGCCTAAAAGTGTGTTGTAGTCTTTAGTCAGTAGTTGTTATACATTTGTTGGTGTGCACTTTCTCAGATTATCCGGGGGGGGGGCGATCCCCCCTAAGTAAATTGAGGGAGGACGTGTACCCCGCCCCACAATCCATGGGCCAGTACCCAAATTTTCACATATCAGTCCCTTTCTGGATTCCCCCCCCCCCCGTCCCCCCAAAGAATAAATATTTTCACATTGTTACATGTGTGCAGAATATATATTGATATGTCAACCTTACGAAAGTGGTGTTTTCATAATGATTATTGACCTCCTTTAAATTTATATTTATATGGAAGACTTTAGAAGACAACTGTTAATGTTCAACTAAGAGTGTAGCATACTTGAAAGCATCTTCTAATCTGTCCTTACTAAAATGTGCAATGTTGTTCAATTTCTGATTCTTTGTTGAAAAACTTGCTTGCTGTCAATAGTGTATTCATGTTTTATATTTTTATAAATGTCTAGTCCGGTTAAAAATAGCACGTAATGATTTCATTATTTTACACGTACTTCACATTATCCTATCGATAAGCGAAACGACTTGCTTTAGTATCAATTATCAAAATATAACATTAAAAATAATTATGGTTTTCCTGAAAACTGCATTACAATGTGATTTCATTGTCAGTGAAAATGTAGTACAATATACAACAATGGGCAAAGAATTGTTTCCAGACCAATGATTCAAGTAAGAAGAACTTATACATTGAAACTGTTGACGTTTGTATATACATGAACTTGAAATAATAAGTAGCCTTGAAAGTGTCGCAATATATCATGTGTGAGTGAGCTTGAAGTTTAATGGTGTAGGTTAATTTGTTTGAGACTATATAGCCTTTACACTGTTTTTAATGACAAAATATCTCCAATCAAATCAAAATGAGTGATGTTATCGAACAACTTAACAATATCAATCTTCTATTCTCCTAAATGAACCTGGGAAACTTAAAAAAAACTTGATTACAATGTGAATTCATTGTCAGTGAAAAAAGACAATATACAACAATGGGCAAATAATTGTTTCCAGACCAAAGATTTAAGTGCGAAATATATCATGTGTGAGTGAGCTTGAAGTTTAATGGTGTAGGTTAATTTGTTTGAGACTATATAGCCTTTACACTGTTTTTAATGACAAAATATCTCCAATCAAATCAAACAACTTAACAATATCAATCTTCTATTCTCCTAAATAAACCTGGGAACCTGGGTATATGGAGTCAATGCATTGCTTTGTAACATTTTGTTTATTCACCTAAAATGTAATTAAATTGTAATAATAGAGTTGGGAGAATTAAGAAATCGATCAGATCATTTTCCCAATTTTGTAATATTAATAATGGTCTGTTTTTACTCAATTTTTTCAGATTATCTTTAATTATACATTTAGTCATTGA